AATTAAAAAAAAAGCTTATAATACTTATTTAAGAGGTGTAAAATAATTATTTATTAATCAAAATTACTTATATAATATTTTTTAAATTTTCATAATTTTAATTAAAAAGAGATGGTTTAATTTTTACCCAAGCAAATAACTTGTTGACATATTTATAGACAATGGGATCACCTCTTTCATCATCCTTACACAAAGAAAAAATAGGTGATAAAAATGAGTAAATAAACAAAATAAATTTAAAATATAATTAATAAAGCTCTATTGTGGTGTTAACAATATGAGACTCTATTTAACAATATAATATTTAATAAAGCTAAACATTGTCATATTCCTTAAAATATTCACAACATTTTTAAAGAATTAGAAAAAAAAATGTATGATTTAACTTTATTCCAAAGTTTTGATGATGGAAATGAAAGAGCAATGTATATCTCCAAACACCCATTATCATATTGTAGCCAAAAAGTTTCAATCATTTCATTAAAGAAATAAATGTGCACAAGTCCCCATTCAACCCAACCATGCATGTGTTCTTCTTCCTTATTAGATTTCTCTCTAATAAGTGATGGACCCACTTCATTATGATCCATTAATCATTTAATTCTTTTTATACAAAAAGCAACTTTAGACATACCAATTCAAATTCTTTAGAAAACATTTGGTTGATTCAATTGAAATGGATAAATCAAGCTGAACTAATGTCTAAACTAACGAAAATTTGTCAATAAAGTTATTCTTAGAGAATAATTTACACATTACTTTAGTTTTTCTTATGACATGAAATGGGTCTTATTTATTTAAAATCATGGAAATATTCTATCAACATATGTGTTAAAAATCGAGAAAAGAATTTTTAAAAATTGGTCATAAAATTAAAAAAAAACAATATTCTTTGTTATTTTATAAAGACCAACTACAATAAAATACCATTGAAAAAACTACAATAAAAGAAAAGCAAAAAATACCATTAAAAAAGGGTAAGATTAAAAGCCATTTACTTGTAATAGTTTTATTTTTTTTCAAAAACAAATAACTAATTAGTAGTTCAACTGAATTACAAAGATGCCAATTTTTTTCAATAAATACAATGCTATATATAAAGGACA